CATTGTTGTTTGGCGGGTCCGGGCTGGGGATTCGAACCCGCCACCTTAGGTGTACGTGGCTGGCGCCTTAGCCGGTTGAGCTATAGGCACCAAGCCAGTGTCTTAATTTCTGAAGGATGCTCCTTTATAGTATGAGGGAAAAGATGTTGGTACCCAGTTAAATTGTCGGGAAAATGTCATGAACCATAATGTTTGGCTCCCAGAGACCTTTTTTTTTTTATTAACACAGAGAGTCTCACTTTGTTGCCCTTGGTAGAGTGCTGTGTCATGGCTCACAGCAACCTTAGACTCTTGGGCTCAAGTGATTCTCTTGCCTCAGATTCCCAAGTAGCTGGGACTACAGGTGCCTGCCAAAACACCTGGCTATTTTTTGGAGGTGGGGTCTCGCTCTGGCTCAGGTTGGTCTTGAACCTGTGAGCTCAGGCAGTCCACCCTCCTGGCCTCCGGGAATGCAGGGCTTATAAGCGTGAGCCACTGTACCCGGCCCCAGAGACCTTCTTTCCTTTTCTACTTCTTTAATTTGAAATTTGAAGTCTCAGAGTACTCTCCCATTTGTTTTCACTGGCTTCCTAGCAGTGTGGTGTCGAGGGGTTTTTACTGCACTTCACTCTGTGCCAGATAGTGCTCTGACTGGAGCTAGTCATTCACCATCTCCCGACCTCATCCGTGCATGCCAGTATTAGTTCTGTCACAAGTTAGCTAGATAACCTCTAAACCTCAGTTCACATATCCCTCAAATGGGAATAATGTCTGTTCTACGTGGCCTGCATTGTCACTAGGAGCAGGTGAGTGATAACAACCTAGAACAGTCAGGTTATTGTCACCATGAGTTTTGAGTCACCCTTTTCCTTCTGACTGTTCAGGAATTCCTGATTATGGATTTACCCCCTCCCAGCCATCTCACAAACCACTGGGGCTGCCTGTTTTTAACAGGCTGTGGCTCACAGGCTTTCCCTGTCCCAGGTTCTGCTCATTCTCCAAGTCCCAGTAACACCTTCTCCACTCTGCTTCCTTCCCCTTGCAGCACATGTGGGTTGCTGCCAGCAGTACTCCGGCATGTGCCCTGGGCATTGAAGACACAAGCAGGCTGTTGTGTTAACAAGTAGCTTGGAGAATGGTGATGTGCCTGAGCTTGTCCTTGGCTTCCATCCCATTTGCCAAAAGAAGCTAGTTTCCCTGACTCAGCCATTGTGCCAGGGCAGTCATAAGTCGTGGAATAGTAGGAGTGTTTATCAAAGGGCATTTGGAACAGGTGGAATGTTTTTCTACCAAACTGTCAACACTCCTTACTGGACATGGCCCTTCCTGGCAGTGGACCTGAAGCTAGACCTCATATTCCTCAGTGCCCAGGAGGCCAGACCACAGTATAATGTCAAATAAATGATCCCAGGGCTTTGTGTAATGTTTACCCCTCCAGATCCTTTCATGGCCAGTATCTCTAATTCTCTCTATGACTCTGTGGAATAGGTATTATTATGCTTTTTTAACCCATGAAAAACTAAAGCTCAGGAAGGGGTAATGGTTTTTCAAAGGCCACACAGCCATCAGGGGACAGAGCTGACCTTTGAACTCAGGAGCTACGGATCTCAGTTTCCACTGTTGTTTTAACTGTATCCATAGCTGCCTGCCAAGCATTCTCCTAATCTCTGCACCCAACAGATTATACTTGACAAAACGCCTTCACACCAGCCTGCGTAAGCGCGAGACCCACCTCTACTAAAAATAGAGAAAATTAGCTGCATGTTATGGTGGGCACCTATAGTCCCAGCTACTCAGGAGGCTGTGGCAGGTGGATGGCTTGAGCCCAGGACTTTGAGATTGCTATGAGCTATGATGTTGCACTAGCCAGAGTGAGACCCTGTCTCAAAAAAACCAAGAACAAAAACAAACTCTTCATAATATGAATTATGTGAGGACTTATGCACTATGGCTCATGCCTTTAATCCCAGCTATCTTAGTCTTATAATTCGAGGATACTGTAAGTAGAACAAGTGTTTTCATCTCTTTAATAGGTGAAAAGATTGAGACTCGAGTTTAGTGAATTGCTACCTTTGCTTGGCAGAGGCAAAACTAGCACTTGATTTGCCTTCTAACTCCATGTCAGCACTTTGGTCCACCCACTACCTTGGCACTTGGACAGAGCAACTTTTCAGGGCCTTTCCCCTCGGTCAGTTTTACCCCAGGAAGCAAGACCCTCATCTCTTCCTCCTATAGAGGGCCAAGCAGAAAATGGCCTTGGCCAGTGGCCGGGGCTCTCGTTAGCCTCTGTGATCTTTGAACTTCAGAACAGAGGTTTCTGTGCCAGAAGAGTCAACACTGGGCATACACACATGCAGGCTCTGAGCATTGCCCTCTGTGGCTCCTGGCAGTCCTACTGAACAGCCTGTTCCTCTACTTAGGGAGAGGCTGGGCCAACCAGCACCAGCCCAGAGTTAGGTGACAGTGAAGACAAGTACCTGGCTTCCTTCCCCAGAGAGCCAGTGGCCTTGCACCAAGGGAGAAGGCGCAGTCCATACCCAAGAAAAATGGACACTCTCAGTACTCTCAGCCCTTACCCTGTGGACAGCAGTGGAAGACTGCTACTGTTTCTCTTCTTAGACTCTCAGTTTTTTCTGGGGCCAGGCACAGTGTGGTCAAATAGAGGAGCCCTGTCTGGGATGGGTATCACCTTGACCAATGACTTGGTCTCTCTGGGTCCATGTTCTTCCTCTATATAAAATGAAGGAGTTGGACCAGATGGTCTTGTAAAACCTCTTCCAGCTCTACCATGTAACTGCCCCATTTCTCTCATAGCATTTGTAAGGTCCTTCTCAGACAGTTCTGTGGTTGCTAGCATGTTCACAACATCTCCAACTTGTGTGTCATGGCTCAGGAGACTGGTTATATTCTGTTCTAGGGGATCCTTTCAGATGATCATGGGCTGGCTGCTGCCCTCTGGAGAACCTTCTTCAATCAGAAATGTGAAGACCCTCGGCAGCTTGAATTGCTGGTGGAGTATGTGAGGAAACAGGTGAGCAGTCCTGCCCCCTTCTCTATAGTCTCACGGACAGTGGGTCCTCCTGGAGGTCTGCAGATGTTGGACTTTCAGAGGATCATGGGAAGTTGAGTTACCAGGATGCAGTCTGATACAGCAGTAGACACTGTATATCCAACCATGAACTAGTCCAGGAGACTATGGGAATAGAAGAGAAGAAGAAGCAAGTAGTCTTCTGCCTTCAGAACCTTTTAGTCACCCATTCACTGCACATTCCATGGCCTGCTGTGTGCCAGATGCTGTGCTAGGTACTGGGCCCCAGAGTCCTGGAAGATACGAGTATTGGGTATAGGCAGCCACCCACTGTAGCCCCTTTCTCTATCTACTTGGAGCCCTGGGATTTGTTTCCTGCTCTTGACTAATAGAAAGACGGGGCACCAAGCATTCCAGTCACCTCCCATCCTTTTCCCACTTGATGCTCTCCATGGTCAAGCAGAGTCCCCTTGCTTCAGTCTCTCACCCTTCAGGGTCTCTAGGGATTCCTGCCGCCAAAGCTTCTAGGAGAAGCCTGTGCAGGCAGGAGGGCTTCTGACTCCATAGCTCTTCTCAAGACCCTCAAGAATTAACTCATTGATCTCCCTGCCCCAGATCCTATATTTTGATGGGGAACTTACACTTCATAGGTGAGCTGAATGTCAGCGTGGGGAACATAGAGGGTGTCCGAGTGAGTCAAGCTGGACAGCTGGTCTAGGACCCCAGGCTGGATGATTCATGTAGCCACTAGAGGCCTCAGCTGCTCCAGACAGCTCATCAGCTCAGGCTGTCCCATGAGTCACACCTTTGCCTCGTGGGACTGGGCCCTGGAGCTCAAGGGGCCTCATCTTACAGTTATTCTCTTGTTCACCTGTGTCCATGGCCTTCAACCCTCCGACAGCCTGGAAAGGGATGGCTAGACCCCAGCTGTTGAAAGACAGCACCAATAGAACTAGCTTGTTTAAATGCTGAAAAAAACACCTACTGGGGCTTTTCAGACCCACAGGATAAAGGATCCCAGAAGCCAGGACTTCTGTTTGACCGCTCTTCAAATCTGCCAGAGCCAGGGAGAAGGCACCATGGCCAGAAAGCCCCACCCACAGAGAATTCTGAGACTTACACTGTTGACTGGACTCGCCCTCAGACAGGAGTAGCAATTGGCAAAGCAAATGCTATGTTTTCTGAGAGACCTGCCCAATTTTTCCATCTGCCATGGTGGGCTTGTGCCAGAAGCACTCAGCAAGGCAGAGCTGGGACCTCTCTGAGCACCTCAAGGAAGGGGCTGCCATAGCCAATGTCCTTATAAGAAGTCACCTGTGCCCCCAGTGAGAGCCAAGCAATGGGAAAACAGTGATGGGGCTCTTAGTAAAGCAGGGAGCTTTGATGGGGACCCAGTTCTGTCAGCAAATCTTTGAGCACCTGCCATGCCAGGCACTCTGTTGGGAAAGCAGAGATTAATGAGACCCAGTCCTACCCTTGAGAAGTTAGCTGGTGGTTTGGCGAGGACACCCATCAGGCACCTGGCTAACCCTGGGTTAAGTGAGCGTGTGGTGTGGTATAGGGCAGCAAAGTGCTGTGCAAGACCAGGTGGATCAGACCAAGTGGATCCGAGAAGTCCAGGAAGCTGGGCCTTGAGCTAAAGTCCTTCACCCTTTTGTGGTGCAGATGATGGCTGCAAGATCAGAGGTTATGTTGAAGTTTTCAATCCAAGAGATTGGCCAAGAAGTAGCATTTGGGACAGAAATGAAGTCATTATAAAGAGGTGTAGGCTTTAGGGAAGACAGCAATTCAGTTGAGCTTCTTACCCTGCAGAAGATGGTAGAGCATGTGGAATCTAGACCCGGGGTGTATGAGTTTGGAGTTGGGTTCAAGGGTCAGCAGCCTAAGGATGAGTCACAAGAGTAAATTCTTGGAAGAGGGGAATGATCCAAAGTCTAACATGAAGCCTCCTCGCTCTGGCCTCCTTCTCCCCTCTACTGCCAAATGGAGCCTCATCTTTCAAAATCCATTGTTGACTCTCACTTTAATCCAGTTCTCACCCTAGATTTTGCCTGTCCACTTGCAAGTATTGTTCATTCTGCTGCCCTCCTGAATACCAGGTAGCCTGGGCAGTCCTCCCAGAGTCTGCCTTTGTCTGCTGAGACTGAAGGCACACATTATTAGATCACCCCCCTCTGCAGGACAACCTGATCACACTTCCCATGCAGCTGTACCTGTTCTCCATCCAGGTATCCCCTCTCCAGAGGGAGGGTTCTTCATCTAAGATTCCTTAGGCAGGCCTGGGACCATCTGTATACCAAACAAGCTGGAGGCTCAAATGGGAAGAAGCCCAGAGGGCACACTCTCTGTGTCAGAGCAGCCATTTGGGGGGGAGCAGGAGGAAACAGCACTTGGTCTCTCCCATTCCAGAGGTAACTGGCCATTGGTGAGAGTCATAGGAGACAGCCGTGCATTGTCTGGGATGATCATTATAATGGCAGAGCTGCCCAAGTTGTCCTACAGTGGTGACACTGAGTCCCACTGACCGGAGTCGGACCCACTAGAAGACAGTGGAGGCATACATATTTTTTAAAGTTCGGGTGACTAGCACTATACATATGCCGTATCATTTAATCTCTTTATGTGTCTGTGAGGTATAATACATGTTCTATCCCCTCTCTCAGATGAGGGAACTTAAACAGAGAAGGAAAATGGCCCCTTGGGAAACACTACTGGGAAGGGGCAGATGAGAACTTTTGCACCTAGCAGCATGGGATGGGGTAGACAGGATGACTTCTGTAAGTCACAGACCCTAACTTCCTGGCCTGCAAGAGTTTTCTGGGGAGGTTATCAGTAGGAGCAGTGTCCTTGGGGGGGAGGAGTGTGTATCTGCATGTGTCCTTCCATCTGTCCATTCAGAAGTATCATGGGAAATTCCTTAAAACTTTTCCCCTGAGCTTCCCCCATGACTTATTTCTCTGAGCCACATTAATGAAATAATCAGAGCTGGGATGGTCAGAACTCCCCCCCTCCCTTCTCCACTGGGAGGTAGTTCCTGTGCCACCTCACATCAGTCTTGCCCTTGTGCCTTTCCTCTGTTCCTGGCTCTTCCCCCTTGCAGATGCAGTACCTGGACTCCATGAACGGCGAGGATCTGCTTCTGACAGGAGAGGTGAGCTGGCGCCCTCTCGTGGAGAAGAATCCTCAGAGCATCCTGAAGCCCCATTCCCCCACTTATAATGATGAAGGTCTCTGATGAGCTGGGCTCTCCAAACTGCTGGCCAGCTGGCTTGGAGGAACCGCCAGGAGAGAAGTGTCTCTTTGGCCCAGGACCCTGCAGAAAGTGGCCTGAACTGACCTTTGAACAGCATCTGTCAAATACCTGGCCCATTTGTGTTGAGTTTCCTCTTAGTGTACCCAGGAGTCAGATCTGGTAGGGTACAGTGCCGGGAACCCCTAGCTCTTCTGCTATGTCCTCTCCCTCAGGAGAAGCCCCAAGCAAGAGCCACCCAGCACACACTCCCCAAGTCCCTCCAGCAACCACATATGATTGACAGCTTTTCCAAAGGCCAAGGAAGGGACGGGGTAGGTTACAAAGGGGATGTCCCACCATAGGCCTTGTTGTGGCCCAGGAGCAGTGGGTGATACTGCTGAGTCAAGATGGGTAACCACACTCTGCCTCTTGGCTTTGAGCCATTGGGTTGAGTTGGTCATTAAAAAAAAAAAAGTCAGAGGCTTATCTCTGCCATGGCTCTTGTTTATTCCAGGATCTTTAGAAACTTATCTGAGATGGTAGATGCATAAGCTGAGGAGCACTGCCCAGTTCAGTTAAAGATAGGGAGCGGGGGAGCTCAGGAGGGTCTCTACTGCCGCTCTTGCCTCCCTTTCATGGAGATATGTCACTATTTTGGCCAAGGTACAGCCTGCCAGGCCCATGCTCTGGGACCCAAGAGGCCTCTGATGGCCAAGGGGCTTGTCACATCCTAAGTCATTTGGAAGGAGGCCTCAAGAACAAAGGTCCCTTTGTCACCCCCAGAGAACTGAGTGAGGAACATGCTGTGTTTCTCTTTTGGCCTCCCCTTATATGAGATATTGGGGAGCCTGGCTTGCCGGGACCATCCCAGGTCCCAGCCCACACCCAGCTTTCTACTCCCTTCCCAACTTACAGAGCATATGCTACAGAGCTGCCTTGGTCTGAGCACCTGAGGACCAGTCCCCTCCTCCCTCAGAGTGTGCACAGGTCATCTCTTGGGGAATTTTCTTAAAGTGAAAAAAGGGGGAGGGGAACCATATTGCCCCTCCCTCCCCCATCAAGCTTCCTTCATTTAACTTGCTATAAAATGAGTCATATAAAGAAACTCTATATGGGTGAGGTATATCCCACTTCTGTGAAAACATTACAAATCAAACCGCCTTCTCTCAGTTTATTTAAGATGCTTTTGTTGCGAGTGGAGCTCTAGAGTGAAGCCTCCTGTGTATGTGTGAGATAATAACACCTTGTAACTCATTACAGCTGGGCACTATTTACATAAACCAGAGCTGAGCCAGGCAGGAATTTGCTGATTAATTTATTTTTAATGGAGTGAAGTATACCATGCACCAAAATAAACTTTACTGTGTGTACCTAACTGCTCCTGGAATGGATGGAAAAATTAATGGAACAGATTTTGGCTCCCAGCTCTACACATTAATTCATATATAAAAGTTATTTGAGCATTAACCCATTTGCTGCCCGGGGCAGCTCCCCAGCCACAGATCTCGGCCCATAGTACCAATTCAGCTACTGGGCTTGCTTTAGAATCCTGGAACCTCAGGCTTAGAAGGAACTTTAAAGGTCCTTTGGTTCTTTAAATTGATGTCCTTTTTAACATCCCAGTTGTCCTCTGTTCGTGCAAGCCCTAGATGAGTCCCTCCAATAGCTGATGGTCCCTGCCTATATAGCTGAGTCCTGTCTCTACAGGACTTGGAAATTATCAAACACGGCAACTCATGATAAGCTGCATTTGAAAGGGTCACATCAGATCATGTCTCCTATGTCCCCAAACCCTCACTTCAGTCATCAGCATTTTTCACTGATTCTACCAGTCTCTACTTCAAGATCAGTTCCAGGGTCCTTGGAGGCTACAGGCTTTTCTTAATTTGGCCAAGACTTCCACTCCACCTTTTTTTTTCTTTTTTGAGATAGTCTTGCTCTGTTGCCCAAGCTAGAGTACAGTGGCATCATCATAGATCACTGCAGCCACAAACTCCTGGGCTCAAACACTCTTCTGGCCTCAGCCTTCCAAATAACTGGGGCTACAGGTGCCAGCTACCACATCTGGCTAATTTTTTTATTTTTGCAGAGACAGGCTCTTGCTATGTTGCCCAGGCTGGTCTCAAGTAATCCTCCTGCCTTGGCCTCCCAAAGTGCTAGGATTATAGGTGTGAGCTACTGCACCTGGCACCATCCTGTGAGTCTCTAACCTCATATTTTTCAACCTTTTTTTTTTTTTAATCTCATGGCACACTTGAACCTATAGTTAAACTTCCGTGGCATACTTAAATTATGTTGATCAAAAAAAAAAAAAGAAGAACATGCTTACTGTGCTTTGAACTTCTTTCGAAAATAATTTAATTGGGGCGGCGCCTGTGGCTCAAAAAGGTAGGGCGCCAGCCCCATATGCCAGAGGTGGCAGGTTCAAACCCAGCCCCAGCCAGAAATAATAATAATAATAATAATTTAATTAATGATCTTTAAATATGTTCATGGCACACTGGTTGAAAATCACTGTTCTAACTCATTTCTTCTCTGAACTACTTCGACTTAGCTAAATAGACTACATTGTGTTTCCTCTACCTGGAGCTCTGATCCCTCTCTCTTCTGAATAAAGAAATCCCGGGCCTCCTCCAGTCTCACCTCACTTGTCCATTCCAGGCATAGGCATGCCCTCCCTGGTGCTCTTCTGCTCTGTGAGCCTCTCCCACACAGAGCATGCCCTGTGCTTACGTTGGTCACCCATTTCCCAGTGCTCGGCAGTGACAGGCACAGACTTCGCTAAATGAGAGAATGAAGGAGTGACTAAATCATAATCATAATCAGTGCAAGCCTAACCCAAAAGCCCCTTTCCAGACCATTCTTTCAGTGTGACCTACAAAACCCAAAGTCCATTTCCATAACTAAATGTTTTTCCAGTGTAAATTGTTACTATACAAAACAAGTGAAGGAAGGACATGATTTCTTGCTCTCAGAGATTGCTCTTTAGGGATAATTTTGTCATTTATTTGTACTCTGTATACTTCCAGAAAGGATTGCAGAAAATTAAAGAGACACTTAATAAAAAAAATTTTTTTTAACTTTTTAAAAAGAGACACTTAAGATAAAACTGTAAAAGTATTAAAACAAAGTTTGAAAGATAAAAATGCTAGTATTAGGAGGAAAGAGAGATAAAGAAAAGTTAGGCTGGGCTCAGCGCCTGTGGCTCAAGTGGCTAAGACGCCAGCTACATACACTTAAGGTGGCAGGTTTGAATCTAGCCCGCACCTGCCATACAACAATGATGGCTGCAACCAAAAAAAAAAAAAAAAAAATCCAGGCGTTGTGGCAGGCGCCCGTGGTCCCAGCTACTTGGGAGGCGGAGGCAGGAGACTCACTTGAGCCCAGGAGTGGAGGTTGCTGTGAGCTGTGATGCCACGGCTCACTTGTCCATCCCAGGCATAGGCAGGGGGACAGCTTGAGGCTCTTGTCTCAAAAAAAAAAAAAAAAAGAAAGAAAAGAAAAGAAAAGTTAGGCTGCTGATAAAGTACTTTCAGTAAATTTTTGGGGAATTTATAAAATATTTTAAATGCATCATCTCACAATAGTCCTGCCAAATGGTATTGTCCTTACCTTATTATCCCTTTTGCACAAGTGTAAGATCTAGAGAGAGTTAGTTATCTAAGGTAAGAAGTGGCCAAGAATGCCCCAGCCCATGCCTGACCCCTAGGTCCCTGTTCTGTCCTCATATCAAACTGCCTCCCCCAGGTCATCGGGGAGATCCACAGCTGAGTTTAAAGCCTTGCTCTGAGCTTCCTGGCCAAAGGTAGAAAAGGGAAAGCCTTAAGGTTACAGAGTGCCTATTGTCACAAGAAAGGGAATATTCTTACCTATGAGAAGAAACAAATGTCTTCCTTACTCTTCAGAAAAGAAAACATAAAGGCTTTCAATGAGAAACACTGAACAATGTAGTGAACAATACCCCTAAGATTCTGGTTTTACCTAAAAGTTTAAAAATAATAATTATTGGATCTGTTATCTTTGATCTTTTCTTTAATCTTTTTTTTTTTTTGAGCCAGAGTCTCTCTGTCACCCTCAGTAGAGTGCTGTAGTGTCACAGTTCACAGCAACCTCAAACTCTTGGGTTTAAGTGACTCTCTTGCCTCAGCCTCCTGAGTGGCTGGCACCACAGGTGCTCACCACAATGCCAAGCTATTCTTTGTTGCAGTTGTCGTTGTGTAGCAGGCCCAGGCCGAGTTCAAACTCACCAGCCTGGGTATATGTGGCCGGCGCCCTACCCACTGAGCTATAGGTGCTGCCCCTTTTCTTTAATCTTAAACTGAGATTAAAGTCCAGCCCACATTTCAGCCAGTATTTTTTGTGTTTCCCTTGCTGACAGACAGGTTGGTGTTTTTTGTTTGTTTGTCTTTTGTTTTGAGACCAAGTCTCATTCTGTTGCCTTGAGTAGAATGCCATGGCATCATAGGTCACGGCAACCTCAAACTCTTGGGCTCAAGCAATCCTCTTGCTTCAGCCTCCCCAATAGTTAGGACTACAGGCACAATGCCTGGCTAGTTTTTCTATTTTGGAGTCTCTTGCTCAGGCTGGTCTCAAACTCCTGAGCTCAGGGGATCCTCCAGCCTTGACCTCCTAGAGTGCTAGGGTTACAGATATGAACCACTACGCCCAGCCCTATGCTTGCTCTATGCTTGTTATTTCATCCAGTGATCATCCTTTGAGGTAAGTATCCTCAAGCTCTTGTTACAGCTGCAAGAAATGTCCAGAGTTATCCAGCATGCACACGCAGCTGGCTTTAACCCCTAGTCCACTGCTTCTGGTTCTGTAAAGGGAGTTTAAAATGGAGGCAGGGGCACTTACACTATGGTTAGGTTAAGAAGCAAAAAAACCTAAAGCAATAGTCTAGCCCCCTCGGCTTGTGCATGTACATACACACACACATTAACTGGAAAAATCACTACAAGGGTGTGAGAAATCAGAAAAGCCTTGAAGGCAGTTGGGACATAAAGAACAGGCAGGGTTTAGGTAGGTGGACAGGAAGTGAGGAGCGGCCTGGGTGAAGGCACATAACAAGCAGCCCTTTAGACTCCAGTGGGCCAGTTGAGTCAGTTGCTAAGGGAAGAAAAGGTTGCAGAGATCAGGTGGGGCCATGAACAGGGGTAGCTTGGATAACCCATCACCTGACAGGGAGCCACCGTGCACTCTTGGTAAGGATTGTAGTGTGATGGCAGCAGCGATACATGGCCATACGCAGAATGGATTGGCTCAGTCAGGAAGAGCATTTAGCCATGTAGCCTTGAGATCCAGAGGAATGATAGTGTGAATTCAGAGGGAGGCACAACCCCCAGAGACATTTCAGAGAGAAACCATACCAGGACTTGAAGCCTAACTGTGTGTGGAGCCTGAAGAAAAGGAGCAGTCACGGGCAGTGCCTGTGGCTCAGTGAGTAGGGCGCTGGCCCCATATACCAAGGGTGGCAGGTTCGAACCCAGCCCGAGCCAAACTACAACAAAAAATGGCCAGGCGTCGTGGCTTGCAACTGTAGTCCCAGCTCCTCAGGAGGCTGAGGCAAGAGAATCACCTAAGCCCAAGAGCTGGAGGTTGCTGCGAGCTGTGATGCCACGGCACTCTAACCGAGGGCGACGAAGGAAGACTTTGTACCTAAAAAAAAAAGAGAGACACAGAGAGAAAAGGAGCAGTCACAGAGTTCTCTTGGGGCCAGGGCATGGTGATGTCTGGCAGTAGGTGGGAACCGGAAAAGAATGATCCTCTCTATATTATGGGTTTTCTTTCTTTCTTTTTTTTTTTCTTTTTTGCCCAGGCTACAATGCCGTGGCATCAGCCTAGCTCACAGTAACCTCAAACTCCCGGGCTTAAGTAATCCTCCTGTCTCATTCTCCTGAGTAGCTGGGGCTAACAGCTGCCCACCACAATACCTGGCTAATTTTTCTATTTTTAGTGGAGATGGGGTCTTGCTCTTGCTTGGGCTGGTCTCGAACTTCTGAGCTCAAGCAATCCACCTGTCTAGGTCTCCCAGAGTGCTGGGATTACAGGTGTGAGCCATCATGCCCAGCTTGTGTCAGGGTTTTTTTTTGAAATGATGTGCAGTAATTGCAGTACCCATCATGCAGTAGGGAAATAGGGAACCAGGAGTGCTGACTGGTGCCTGCCACAATACCTGGAATTTTCCTATTTTTAGTAGAAGAGGTATTTGCAGTACCCATCATGCAGTAAGGAAATAGGGAATAGATGTGTTCCACACATTTACCACTTTCTCCCCAAAGTGTCCCAATAGCAAAGCTGAATAGTCTCATGCCTTCTGAGCCTTTATTACTTTTTGTTTCATCTGTGGGGATCCAATCAGTAAGAGGTGGACTCTAGCAACAGAGA